TAAACAAGAAAGACATTCCTGGCACTAAAATAACATTTCCTCTGTTCATTAGTCATGTCCCCATGCCCCTTTTACATTCTTTTGCTTTCCACTTTGAATTTTTATTCTCACAAAAAAAAAAACAGAAGATTTACTGTTATGTAGACTACTGCATTAGTGTAGAAATGGTATAAATAATATCAGCGCACTTGTGAAAGAATATTAGGCTCACCAGTTGACGTGTATTGGACGCTTAGCATGATTTGTTTACTTTTGAACGTTGGTAAAAATTGAACATTTCTGCTACTTTGAGCTCAATTTCAAGGTACTTTTCATTGTAAAACCATGTCTTCCATTCTATAAAATGAGACCAGGAAAACTAGAATACAACAATAAATACCATACGAAAACACAGTGCAAAGTCGCTGTTTTAATCCAAAAACACGATCAAAGTTTTTTTTTTCTCATTACGCACTCATGCTGCAGGATTTTTTTTATACTGTGCACACTGACCACGTAGACCCATTCTTTCATATGTAGGCCTACCAGCTTTCTCTCAGTAAAAGGACACAAGTGCAACTAATGTGACATTTTATTGTGGCAACGTTTCGCTCTCCAGGAGCTTTATCAAGCTCCTGGAGAGTGAAACATTGCCACAATAAAATGTCACATTAGCTGCACTTGTGTCCTTTCACTTTACATATTGTCGGTAATTCTACCACTTTATTACAAGCTTTCTCTCACTAGATTTGAGGGCGCTAGAATTTAGGCGTACTAGTACGTCAAGACCCCTGGCGCGTAAGCCATACTAGTACGTCCGCAACCCTGAAAGGGTTAACTGGCGCTTCCACAAGGTACTGAGTGGTCCAAGATTTTTTTAATATGGTGCACACCGAGTGTTAAGACCCATTCTATGCTGACCAGGCATCTCAGGCCAATCATGCCAAATTTGGAGGCAGGAAAAATAAAACGTACATATACGTTTGGGGCGCTAGCGATAAGAACGTATATATATGTTTGGACCGTTTAGGGGTTAATGGATTTTGCCCATTATTTCAAAACTCCATTATATTGAGGCATGGTATACTGAGGGTTTACTGTTGTACCCAATATCTTCAAAGTGTATATGAGATACAACCAAGGAGGGAAGACATAATTATATCATACTCTACACACAACCATTACTGGAACTCAAATCAGTCACTCAAGATTTAACCCTTTGACTGTTTCAGGCCCCTTTCTGAAACTGTCATTCTATGTCGCTCAATTTTTGAAAAAAAAAAAAAATTATTTTTTCTTATGAAATGATAGAGAATCTTTTCCCGATGGTAATGACACCAAAAGTTCGAAATTTGGTCGAAAACTCATGGAATTATGCTCCCGCGAAGTTAGCGGTCTCGGCGACATATGCGTATCGGCGATTTCGCTGACTTTGAGCCCTATTTTCAGCCAATTCCATTGTTCCAGTTGACCAAACTCATAGCTATTTCTTTAGAACTCCATTTTATCTATCAGCTGAGTACAAGAAACCTCCCATTTACTAATTTGGACTACCCAATATGGTGGTCAGAAATTGGCAATTTGGCCAATTTCACGCAAACTAAAAAAGATGCCAATTTCAAAATAGGGTCCAGAATAAACAAGGTAGACATTCGTGGCACTAAAATAACATATGCTCTGTTCATTAGTCACATCTCTAGGCCCCTCTTATATTATTATTGCTTTCTATTTTGATTTTTTATTCATACAAAAAAATACAAAATTTACTGTTATGCAGACTACTGCATTATTGTAAAAATGGTATAAATAATATCAGTGCACTAGTGAAAGAATATTAGACTCCCCAGTTGACGTGTATTGGACATGTGGTGTGATTTATTTACTCCTGAACATTGGTAAATATCAAACATTTCCGCTACTTTGAGCTCTGTTTCAAGGCCGTTCTCATCGTCAAAGTAATGAAAATCATCTCTATTTCTGTAATATGTTTTCCATTTTATCACCTAAGACCATGAAAACGCAAATACAACGATAAATACTATACGAAAATACACCTCAAAGTCGGCATTTTATTCCAAAAAAATGATCAGAGTTTTTTTTTTCTCATTACGCAATGTGTGCTGCAGGATTTTTTTATGTGGTGCACACTGACCACACAGACCCATTCTCTCACATGTGGGCCTACCAGCTTTCTCCCGCTTGATTTGAAGCCACTAGAATTATTGAGTATATATACGTCAGAAACATTGGCTCGTAAGATGTATTTATACGTCGAAAACAGTCAAAGGGTTAAACAAGGTAAATGATACAGTGGACCCCCGGTTCCCTATGTTACCGGTATCCGATAAATTCGGTTGCCAATGCATTTGATCAAAAAAATTTTGCCTCGCTTCCTGATACAAAACCTGTATGCGATACGATTCGTATGAGACGTGTCCACTTCTGGCCTGAACTCCCCCGTGTGTACCAGTGTTTACAAGCCAGCCACTGTGTGCACATCTAAGGATACATTCAGTACATTCCATATTATCCATATTATCACTGTTTTTGGTGCAAAATAAGTCACCATGGGCCCCAAGAAAGCTCCTAGTGCCAACCCTTCGAGACCAAGGGTGCTAATGACTGTTGAAATGAAGAAAGAGATAATTGCAAAGTACGAAAGTGGAGTGTGTGTGTCGGAACTGGTCAGGTTGTATAGTAAACCCCAATCAACCATCTCTACTATAGTGAGCAGGAAAATGGCAATCAAGGAAGCTGTTCTTGCAAAAGGTGCAACTGTGATTACGAAACAGCGACCGCAAGTGTTAGAAAATGTTGAGAGACTGTTATTGGTGTGGATAAATGAAAAACAGATAGCAGGAGATAGCATTTCTCAAGCGATCATTTGTGAAAAGGGTGATGAAAATCACCCTCACACAGCTATTGCAAGCCATGCTGGTGACTATTACACTGACAATGTTGTGAAACACTTTAGGAAAGTCATAAAGGAATGAGAGGTACAGGCCTATATGGACAGATATGTTGTGCGACAGAAGTCCAGTGACTCTCAAGCTGGTCCTAGTGGCATTAAAAGAAGAAGGGAAGTAACCCCAGAAAAGGACTTGCTACCTCAAGTCCTAATGGAAGGGGATTCCCCTTCTAAACACTAAGACCATCCACACTCTCCCCTCCTCCCATCCCATCAATCATCACCAGATCTTCAATAAAGGTAAGTGCCATGTAACTGTGCATGTCTTCTTCAGTTTGTGTGTATTAAAATTAATATTTCATGTGGTAAAATTTTTTTTTTTCATACTTTTGTGTTTGGTGTCCTTCACGGATTAATTTTGTTTATGTTCCATTTTTAAGTTTCTTCATTAAGGGAGAAATATTTTATTCGCTTTCCGAGTAATTTTTGTGGTCTTACGATAGCTCTCAGGAACGGATTAAATATCGTGACCGATGGACCAATTGTATTCAATTAATGTATCTTATAATGTTTACGAAATACAATGATGTAAATTATTTTCGAATAAATTTCGTCGTCTCCAGGTTAATATTCTGCATCTGTGTGTCTTACACATTATTCAGTATTAGGAGATATTTTATCACAACTGTTGTACAGTGGTACCTCGAGTTTCGGCCATAATTCGTTGCAGAAGGCCGTTCAAGTGCTGTTACCGAACGAATTTGTTCCCATAAGGAATAATGTAAATTAGATTAGTCTGTTTCAGACCCCCAAAAATACACTTACAAAAGCACTTACAATAATAGACTTACACAACAATTCAAGTTGGGAGCTGTACCAAACTTCGGGTACCACTGTATATGATGAAAAAATACGGAGCAAATAAAAACGAATTTTTTTTTTAAGAGATTAACTGAAGCCTATGTAATTTCTATTGCATAATTTTAACTATTACACAATATGGTAACTGCCAGCAGCCCTGTATGCAGGAGGCTAAATCAAAGTAAGGCATATTAATTTATGTTATTTAATATAGATATAAATTTCTCCTGAAGCTAGAGTGTTCTGTCCAAAAATTAATGAGTTAAAAACAATGAGGTTTTTAAAATCCTTCATTCAAGATCTTTGAAATAAACTATACTACATGAATGGCTCTAGTACGTACACATTAGAACTATCAATACGATGAGTTTAAAAAGCTTATATCCATGGATCCTTATCTTACAGCAACCATATATGAATACGAAAGTAATGATGAGTTCTAAATATGCAATACAGGCGCTCCTCAACTTATGATGGGGTCATGTTATGATGAACCCACTGTAAGTCAAAAATATTTTAAGTAGAAAATATCGCAAGTCGAATAAGTAGATAAACAAATAATTACTCTAACTAAATACCAGCACTGAAAAGTAAAAAAGGTATACAAGTTGCAAATTTGCTGCCTGCATGCTGGGCAATTATCTTAAGTTTCACCTCCAAACTAATTGCTTTTGCACCATCATAAAGTCGAAATATAAGTCAAACCATTGTAAGTTGGGGAGCACTTGCACAGCGATATCTATCACAATCAATCTGTTTTCTTATATGGAGAAGATAGCAGTTCAGTTTCACTGGAGAAACTGTTTTGTGGCATAAATAAACATGTGCCATACAACCAATGTGGATGTCTTTCTTTAACTGTTAAAGTATGCTTTATTCACATGTCATATCAAAGTATTACAGTTGCTTTTGTTCATAATTCCAGCCACAGTGCATTATATGGATTTTTACAGGTAAAATACTTTTAAGTACATTATTATACTCTTTAAAATTTATATTACAAATTTTACTCATTTTACATTCTCTTCCGAGACATAACCACATTTACGACATGGTGTACTCATTTCAGCAAAAATTCCTCCAACACGGGTGTGGGTTATGGGATAATGCAAACATACAAACTTCAGTGCAAACAGTGAGCTTTTCTAAGAACACTTTCTTACTGGTAAAGGGATGTACAACATTGTGTGTATAGCAACAAAGTGCCCTCTTCATCTACCATGCCTACGCAGCGATGCCACACCAGTAATACCTTCTGGTTTTGTTGAGCACGCTGCTGGCTGATTTCCGTGAGCCCCTTCTGAAGGGAGCTCAGTTCACTTTGAAGATCTAGCAAGTCAGCAATAGCCCCCCCGGCCCCACTTGTCAGACTGGCACTCACTATTCCGCTGTCCCCATTGCTGCCGAACAACCCGCCAAACGAAGACTCCTGTGGGAGAAAAGGCATATATTTTGCATGATGCACAATGTGTACTCTGTTAAATATTTCATTAATATCAGGGATAAAAAGTCTGAATGATCACCAGTAAAATTTCATTATAGGTGCACTATGCAGCCATTAACACTGTCCTGCTGCAGAGTCTTCAAACACTGTGCATCTACAAATGTAACATGCATAAATAACAAAAAGGCACAATACCGTGACTGGAACGATACACAAATAACCCGCACATAAAAGAGAGAAGCTTACGACGACGTTACGGTCCGACTTGGACCATTGACAAAGTCACACTGACTTTGTCAATGGTCCAAGTTGGACCGAAACGTCGTCGTAAGCTTCTCTCTTTTATGTGCGGGTTATTTGTGTAACATGCATTACTGTAACATAATAAATGGCCATGAAGAATGAAAAATACATTTTAGTGTCAGAGCTTCATGATCCCACTAAGAACAGAGTTTGCACACAATCACACCCTTTTCCCATTACTCACCCTAAACATCCCCTACCCCTGTAAGGTTTCTTATTTTTCTACTCAGTTTGTCTAATTCTTCCTTAAGTTTCACTTGTCATTTTTCACTGTTTATGGCCAGAACTGTCCAGTAGCAGATAGCCAGTACAAAACAACTGATTTGGGGAGATGGCAGGTCCATCCACAGAAATGCATCTTTCATTCTTTAAAACCATCTATTCAGTGGTGGGGTTCTGATGACCCACTAGAAACACTATCAGCAGTACCCCAAAACAGAGGGGAGGAAGCTAATGAAAGGAAGTGGAAATCTGAGAGCCAAATCATAGAGAGACAAGATCAAAGCTAGAGACAGTGAACTTTCAAATGGAGAGGCTGAAAAGTAATGGTTAGGATGCAGCTGCAAAGGATTTCTTATTGACAGCCCTCAACAAAGCTCCACATCCAGAATTAGTGATCAGCTGAAACCAGCCACTGCTAGAAAGACAAGGTACATTGCATTCATAACAGTTCACCTGAACATGCAACAGCTGGTAAGTAATATTTAGTAATCATAAGTACAGACCCTCTCCAAGTAAAATGTGGAGAGCCACCAGTGATAGGGTCAGGGTCTAAGAGATCAACCTGGCTTACACTTTTCTGAGCACCCTACCAGGTCACACAGGCATGATACTCTACAATATTTATATAATGCAGCAAGTATAGACCTGAGACCTAGAGAGGAGCACTTTATGTCAAGTTAATAGTTCTGATCAAACCAAATTGAAAACTCTGATGGTAAGCATGAACTTAACCCACAATGGAATATGTTTCTTGGAACTGATTAATTAGAATTAGGGATTCCCTCCTAAAGTCCAAGAGATAGCAACAATAAATGCCTGACCAGTTCCTTTCAAGCAAATTATGGATCAGAAAGAGTCTTGATGATGTTACGAGAAGAAAACAAGAACTAAACAAGTTGGATGTACGTACATAGAACCGAACAAAAGCTAACTTACAGGTGAGGTGTATGATTTCCAACATCACCTCCAGTGGAACTCTGGCTGCCAGGGCTAATGAGCCTGCAACTTCCCTGGTGTTATGGAAGAAAACTGTGGAGGATTACTGTCTAGGTGAATGTTAGATGAAGTGGCATACCCATGTCAAAATTAGCAGAATTTTTATTCAAGGCTTTGCTTCCCTTGTTTGGAACTTCATATGGCAGCGCAAAGAACAGAATAAGAAATTTTATTTAATTCTGGAATTAATTAAAAACTTGCACATGTCTCTGGGTTCACTTCTGTCTTGCTGAACCATGTTAAGTCACTTTAACCCTTTCAGGGTCCGTGCTGTAGATCTACGGCTTTACTTTCAGGGTCCAAACCATGGATCTACGCCATGAGCTCAGCTCACTCTGATAAGCTGTGAGTGGTAAATTTGGGCCTAGATATGAGAGAATGCATCTATGTGGTATATGTGCACCACATAAAATAAATCCTGCAGCACAAGTGTATAATGAGAGAAAAAAAAATGAGACCATGATTTTCAATTAAAACAGCGACTTTGCAGTATTTTTTCATATGTTTTTTATAGTTGTATTTGCGATTTCTTGGTCTCATTTGATAGAAAGGAAGACATATTACAGAAATATAGATGATTTTGATTGGTTTTAGTACTGGAAATGGGTTGAAACTGAGCTCAAAGTAGCAGAAATGTTAAATTTTTGTTGATGCTCAAGAGTAAACAAACGACCTCACACATCTAATACACACCAACTGGTGGGTCTAATATACATTCACAAATGTGGTGATGATATTTATACAATTATTACAATATTGCATAACAGTAAATCTTCTATTTTTTGGTTTGAATAAAAATTCATTATGTGAATAAAAAATCAAAATGGAATTCATTTGTAAAGCCTGAAAACATAACTAATGGACAGAGAAAATGTTAGTTTAGTGCCAGGAATGTCTGCATTGTTTATTCTGGACCCTATTTTGAAATTGGAATATTTTGAACTTTGTGTTAAATTGGCCAAATTACCAATTTCCGATCACTTCATTTTGTAGTTGAAACAGTTGACTGGGCAATTTATTGTGCTCAGTCAATAGAATAGAAGTAACGCTAGTGAAATTGCTAAGAATTTGATAGACTGGAATAATGTAATTGGCCTAAAATGGGAGTCAAAGTCGGCAAAGTCGCTGATTCGTAAATATTGCTGACACATCAAAATTCGCGAGAGCATAATTTCGTCAATTTTCCATCAAATTTCATACTTTTTGTTTTATTACCTTCAGAAAAAGATTCTCTACCGTTTCATAAGAAAAAATAACAAAATTTTTTTTTTAAAATTCTTGGACCCTGGTGCACACTTTGAAATTTGGCCTCTGGACCCTGAAAGGGTTAATTCACCCCTACAGAGCCTAGAGAGAAATAGCATTATTATCAACACAATGAAAAAGACATACAAATGTAGTTTGTGACATGATAAAAGCCACTATAAGAGTGAATTGCCATCAATAAAGAATTACATTATACTGCATATATGTCTATCTGTATCTATCTCTCTCTAGGCCTTTTATCATGTCCTGATACACTAAGACTTTTATTGATCTCCATCTTCTATCTGGATGGGGTAAACTATCAGTCTGTGATGATGTCCTTTGGACCCAAGATGACACATTGACTCTTTGCATGTGTATGTTACTCTCTCTTGCAGTTTTCAGATACTGGACTTGTCCTGTGACATACTTGTGACTGGTTTTTAATTTTTTTTTTCTGACCTTGCAGTCCAGCTTCACCTTCACGATGCTCAGGATGTTTCAGGAGGTGGGATTTTTCATTAATCATGCGGAGTCAGTGCTCATCTCAGTGTTCCTTGCAGTAGCAGTGGTGCAGGTCAACTTCCCCAACTGCAGACACTCTCTCGCTCTGCACAAGCAGTCTTGTCTTTTCCTCTATATCCAGGATTTCTTCTTCAAGTCAAAGATTATTGGATGTGGGATGACATCCACCATGGGGGGAAGTTCATGTTTCAGGTTTTGACCCTACCACTCAGCTACCTGTATCATTCTCAGGTAGTAAGAACAGGAAATCAAATCTCTAGGACTCTTCACTGAGATTTGGCATTTGTACTCTTGCCAGAGTTCTGGGATATTCTGCAAGGCACTTGATTCCAGTAAACCTTCCAAATGTTCCCATGAATTTTCTGCATTCACAGAATATCCTTAAGACATGAATTTGACTTTAGACAATTGTCCTGCTCTTGCTCAGCATCAATGTTCTGGGCTCTCAGATACCATGTCATTCTTCTTCCTCATAGAAAAGATTCTGCCTTTTTGCAAAAGAGAAAGATCCTTATCCTTCTCTTGCATTTACCAGGATATCTCATTTTTCTAATCTTGTAAAATATTTGGCTTGCATGAGTCTTGCAGTCCTGGGTAGTCCACTGGTATGTCCTGGATGTGGCTTTGTTTCTACATAGGCGAGTCACAAGCTACTGAAATTTTTTGTTCGTTACCAGACCATTTACCAGCCCTCATCAGCAGATGACAAGTGCTAAATCTCAGAATGGGTCAGGCTTGAACCCAGGGCAAGTGAGTCCTAAAACTTGCAGGCCAATAAGGTTATCCACTAGACCACACTGGCCTAATAAAATTCAACCAACTAGGCCCTGTCGATAGCACAATGACTCGTGAGTTCTAGGACTCGCTTGCCATGGGTTTGAGCTGCACCCGTTCCCTGATTTGTCTGCAATTGTGTTATTAAAATTTCATGAGACAAGTGCTAGCAAGTGGCACAGTTACAAAATATTTGTAAAACTGAGAAATTTCTGTTTAAAAATCTTATTTTTTCTATACAGAGCACCAATACTTTGTTTCACCTGGGTTCAGCTTACCAGTGTTCAGTGGGAGCATACTGTAGTTTGAAACAACTGTGCTTGACCATCAAATTTTGTATGAGTTTTATAAAATACAGCCTCTCCTCACTTAACGATGGAGTTCTGTTCCTAAGACCATTAGTAAACAAATTCGTCGTTAAGTGAGCAGCATACTATAATGGTAGTGAGTGTGTGTCAACCATTTTCTATACTGTTTTAATGTCACATTTACACCATTTATAATATTTCTGGTATATTTTTAAATGTTTATACAGTAGTGTACTGCATATTGTAATAAACAGAAAAGAGGAAATCAGCTCTAATATACATTATTTAGGTATGCATACTGGTCAGAGAGACCATCGTAAGTATGAGTCATCAGTAAACGAGTACGTCGCTAAGTGAAGAGAGGCTGTACACTGGTTTTCTGGTATACTAAATGTTAATTCTGTGCATGTGTAGTGGGCTGGTATTTATTTGGTAAAATTCAGTCACAGTTTTTTTTTTAATTATTGATTTTTTAGAAACAAATGAATAAAATTTTCATATGTGGTTGCTTGGCAGTTATGTGTGGTAGTTTTTAATAAAAAGTTGCTAAGAAATGCATGCTGTATTTATTATATTTTCTGAGAACCTGGTAATAAAAACTGCATTTTTATT